ACACACACACACACAAAGACACATGCACTCACATGCACACACACAGGCACAAACGCAGACGCAGACACACACAAAGACACACAAAGACACACAAAGACACACACACACACACACACACACACACAAAGACACATGCACACACATGCACACACACAGGCACAAACGCAGACGCAGACACACACAAAGACATACAAAGACACACACACACACACACACACACACACACACACAAAGACACATGCACACACCTTGGCACCATGGGGGCGATGGTAGGGATGCGCGCCTCGTGCCAGCCAATGCCCGTGTTGAGAATCGTCACGCCGGCCCGCTCAAGCTCCTTTGCAAGCTATTGGAAGGACGCGCGCGCGCACGTGTGTGTGTGTGTGTGTGTGTGTGTGTGTGTGTGTGTGTGTGTGTGTGTGTGTGTGTGTGTGTGTGTTGGTTGGTGTATGAGTACGGAACTTTGGTACAGTCCAAGAAACCATGTGCCAGCCTCTTGCAACCTTTCCTCTTCCACCCTCACGAATGCGATTCTCTCACTCCTTCTCCTGTTACCGTGACAATTTCGTCCCAGGTGCTGCCCTTGTCCACAAGATCGAGCATGCTCAGCCGGAAGATGATGATAAAGTCCTCGCCTGTCGCAGCAGCACGGCAGTGGTTTTCACAGCAGAGGTGGCTCGGTGACGAGAGGAGCTTCAGTGAACAATGCATTGGGATGGTACCTCCAAAAACTCAGGGACGGGCAAACAGCGTTGCACACTTCCCATCTATTCACACACACACACATTTTCACACTGAGTGTCACATTGTACCGAGTCTCTGGCGCATGCGTCGCACAATCTCGAGGGGAAAGCGCATCCTGTTTTCGTATGCGCCGCCCCATCGGTCCTTCCGCCGGTTCGTGCGCTCCACCAGGAACTGATTGATCAGATACCCTGCATGATTGGTGATTTGGAGGGAGGCGGTTGTGAGGAAGGTAGCGGGAAGGCACGACCCACTTGCACAGCACAGCACAGCACAGCACAGCACACACACACACACACACACACTCTCTCTCTCTCTCTCTCGCACACACACACACACACGCTCTCTCTGTCTCGCACACACACACACACACGCTCTCTCTCTGTCTCGCACACACACACACACGCTCTCTTTCTCTCTCTCTCTCTCACGCACACACACACACACATCCTTTTTTATTTTTGTTAAACTCACCTTCGCTGCCCATAACCTCGACGCCATCATAGCCGCCAAGGCGTGCGAGCTCCGCGCACCTGCGCGCAGGTGTGGACACGCATACGGAGTGAGATACAATGCTGTGGCTTTCGACACCGCTTATCCAAACAACACAAACAACACAAACATGCAGACCAACAGCACAGGTACTGACCGGACGTAATCGTCGATGGTGCGCTCGACCTGCTTATCTGAGAGCTCGCGCGGGGTGAACCAGGAAATCGGGGATCGCAGCTTCGTTGGCGCCACTGCCAGCGGGTGATATGCATACCTGCATCCAGTGCATGTTGTGTGTGTGAGACAAAGGTATGAGTCCAATAAGTGAGATCATAAAACCACACACACACACACTGGAAACGCCCACCACACACACACACACACACACACACACACACACACACAACACAAACACACACACACACCGGCCGGAGTGGAGGATCTGCATGCAGATTTTGGCGTCGTATTTGTGCACGGCGTCGGTGACGACGCGGTGGCGGCGGGCCTCCCACTTGTAGGTGAGCTTGGAGGCAAAAGGGGACACGCGACCCTCCCGGTTTGGGGCAATGCCGCCAGTGACCATGAGCCCCACACCGCCGCGAGCACGGGCCTCGAAGAACGCAGCCATCTCCTTGAGGCCAGACGGCAGCAGCAGGCCGCTCTCCAGACCCGTGTGCATGCTCCCCATCAGCACGCGGTTCTTCACCTGCGTGAAGCCCAAATTCAGCGGCTCCAACAGCCGCGCATACTTCCCAGCAGACATCTCGCGCGCAACAGTTGTATGAGATGCGAGATGCGCGATGCGAGAAGTGGGTGGTAGGTTGGCTGCGTTGGTGTTGTGGTTGTGGTTGTTGCTGTCCTCCTCCTCGTCTTCTTTCGCCGCTCAAAGCAAGAGGCGGTTGTGGAAGATTGATAAGTAACATGGCTAATTATCCGCGGCGATAACGACGAACCAAACAAACAAGAAGCTGAACGATGAGGAGCAGCGAGGAGGATGGCAACGTGCATCGTGGTGGTGGTGGTGGTGGTGATGGGGAGAAACAGGAGGAAGCAGTTGATGCTGGAAGTGGTGAAGAGGCGGGGAGAGGCGGTGGAGCAAGGAAGGAGCGGAGGCGACAGAGTACGAGGCAACAGCGGCCACAGCGCCAGCCCATTGAGTCGAGTGATGAGGGTGGCGGCAACGAAGTGCTTGACGCCGACGGTGGTGACGACAACGATGGCGGAGATGATGTGAAGGAGGGTCGCATGCGGCCACAAAGGAGGAGAAGGAGAAGGAGAAAGTTAGATGACGATACACGTGGCGAGCGAAGTAACCACGAGAGACAGCCAAAGCGACAGGAACAGAACCCGGATGCGGGGGATACCGAGCCCATGAGGGTGATCAAGGCGCCACCGCGCTTGAAGCCGCTTCGCATCCCCGCTGTAGGCAGCGAGAGCACACAGGGCAGTGAAGCACCTGAGGCACCGAGAGAACATCGGCGGCCACGCCGCCCTCAGGGAAAGTCGCTCGCCTCACGTCGACTCGAAAGCATCAAACGCCACGGCTGTAAGTATTACGTGAACATGTTTCGCATGCGCATCTGCGCGTGTATGCGTGAGGCCCGTGCCAGGCTGTGCGAGAGTCTAAGAGGCACGCTGCTGTGCTGCATTCCTCGCTTGCATGCGCGCGTACCTTCATATGCACTCACATGACTCTTCCTTGCTCAACACAACACCAACACGCCCACAGCTCTTCCATCTTCGACCAGGGCAAGCGAGAGAGCAACGCCTGACAGCAATGAAGCGCGCGAGAAGTCCAGGTAGGCGTGCGTGTGTGCTTGCGTGTGCTTGTGTGCATGTGTGCTTGCGTGTGCGTATATGTGTGTGTGTGTGCTTGCGTGTGCGTATATGTGTGTGTGTGTTTGCGTCGAGTGATTCTGCACCTGCCATATTGTCTTCATCGCTCTCAACGAGCGCCGCCGCGTTGAACTGACAGCACGTGGGGTTCCGGATCAACGCTGTCGCAGCCACCAGGTATGCGCCATCGGCGCGTGTGCACGTGTGCGTTGTCAAGCGTGACATCCTCATGCGATATGAGTGTTGTTATTCACGTCCATCTCCGGTTGTGTCCACAACACAGCAGATGCAGCATGGCCTGCGCTGAACGAAGTGGACGAGGAGGACTTGATCCAGGACGACAGCCGGGATGGCACGCTGACACTCACGCGAACGAAGACAACGCGAGGTGGGCGGGGAGAGGGTGAGGGCGAACGTCTCCTTTCTTCGTGCACATGTTGCTGTGATGCTGTCAAGACATTTCTTCAGTGTGCGCATAACCTCCGCTCATCCTCCTGCTCACGCCACTTGGAAAACAGGTCCACGAATCAAAGCCCAGTCACCGCAGGAGTCACAGCAGAAGACCTACGTCGAAGGTGCGTTCGGACGTGTGTGTATGTGTGCGTGCGTGTGTGTGTGTGCGCGTGTGTGTTGTGTGCGTGTGTGTGTACGTCCGTGAAAACGTGTGTTTATCTTTTGTGCGTCGTATTCTGTTCGTTACTGAGGTCACCTCTATGCTCACATCACCCATGTACGTGTCTTCAGGTGTGCGCGCATTCCAGGCGACGACTCGCCAGGCCGCGCGGCGCGAGGACAGCGGTGGCGCTGACGAGTATCACGAACGGCCACACAGGCCATGGGTCCTCGTGAGTATGTACATGCGTGATATGCGTGTGCGAATTTGTATGTGTATGTATGTGTGTGTGTGCGTGTGTGTGTGTGTGTGTGTGTGATAATGATGTTGCTGGACTTTGAACTTGTGCAGCTCCCACCAACGCCTGACTCACGCCATTGCGTGCATGCACGTGTGTGCGCCTCCTGGTGCCAACAAGGCGGTTGACTCGTACTCCTCAGCGCTCATCCACCGCGCCCACACCTTTCTCCTCGGTGCGTCCAGTCGCTCTGTGTGTGTGTGTGTGTGTGTGTGTGTGTGTGTGTGTGTGTGTGTGTGTGTGTGTGCGTGGAGAAAGCAAGGGAAAGGAGGGGCAGCAGCCGCTGCAGGAACTGTTACAACACAAATCTCACTTTACATCCTTCAACCCTCATCCCCAATCCACCATCCTCACCCTAATTGCCACAACCCCTGGCTCAGGGTTCCTGCTGGTCCACCTGCTCGTCATCACGAGCGTTTATGACGACAGCGCAGATGTTTCCGCCTCGTGCATTTCCGTCGACGCCTTTCTCAGTGACCGCGACAAAACATTCGTGTGCTTCATGGACAGGTGCGTGAACATGTGTGTGTGTATCTGTGTGTATCTGTGTGTTTGAGTGTTTGAGTGTAGCTGTGGTTGCAGAACCATGGACGAGAAACTGACTGTCGCTGCGCCCCTCTGAACATTAGTACATACTCCCCACACCTTGTCATCTTCACCATTCCACCTCCTTCATCCTAATCTCTCCAAATCCTCCTCCTTCTACCTGCCTCCCCCCCCCCTAACCAGCATCACCCGGCCCTTCACGGCCATGTTCCAGTGTGCCGCGTGCTTCTGTCTCGTCTCTCTCTATCTCCACCGCCGCCGCCGCCGCGAAACAGGCCAGCCCGTCACTGCCATCTGGTACATCAACACAATCGGTACGCTTCGTGGTCGTTTCAGATGCACGTGTGTGTGTGTGTGTGGGGGGGGGGTTCGTATGTGTGTGAAGGAGAGAAGTCGGTCACGGTTCACGCTTGTTTTGTTCCACCTGCACAACACACACATACATACACACACACATGCGCACTCATACTTCCTCATCTTCCCCTCTTCCCTCCTCCCCATCTCGCCCATGCTCCAGTATATCTTGCGTGCATTGGCGTGGGCGTGGCGGCGCTGCAGCAGGAGCTGCTTGTTGGCGTGTACGACAACGACCTCTACCTCGACCTCCAACAGCGCGGCAAACGCGATCCACAGCGGTGTGTGCGTGTGTGTGTGTGTGTTTGAGCGTTTGCGTGGATGCCTTGTCTTGTCTTGTCTTGTCTTGTCTTGTCTTGTCTTGTCTTGTCTTGTCTTGTCTTGTCTTGCCTGTCTGTCTGTCTGTGTACATCTGTGTGACCGTCTGTGTATTTCTGTCACGATTCAAAGTTACCTTGGTACAGACTGTCTCACCCGTTGCACCCTCCCCTCCTCTTGTCCCAATGTTCCCTCCTCCAAAGACCCGATGTGGAGAGCATGGTGCAGCTGTTGCGAACGCGCAACGCCCTCGGTCTTGCTGCCACTTTCCTCCACCTCATCTTCTCCTCCGGCTCCTCAGGTGTGTGTGTGTGTGTGTGTGTGTGTGTGTGTGTGTGTGTGTGTGTGTGTGTGTGTGTGTGTGTGTGTGTGTGTGTGTGTGTGTGTGTGTGTGTGTGTGTGTGTGTGTGTTCAAGCGTGTCCAAACGCGACAGTGTTGACCGCTGTGCGTGTGCATGCGCTCCAACTCCTCCACTTATCAACCACTTCCTCCCCATTCCTTGCCCATGCACCACTGCACAGATGATGGCGGTTCCACAACGCGCGTCGCACCAAAGTCAACAGCGGCAGTTCACGAGCACAACGGAGGCGACGACGATGGCGACGACGATGCACAGCCCCTGCGAGGGGAGAGTGCAGTGTAGATCAAAGCAGTGCACATAACAGCTGTTTGTTTCGCATACCTGTAGCTTAGTGTCATCTGTGCATACGATTGAATGAATGCATGTACACCATCTCAACAAACCACGTTGTCAAAACACCTCAAGAAGCAATCAACCAGCAGACAAAGCCCAAAGCCACGCCAAACAGGCGCTTGCTTCCACTTCGGAGAAATGGGCGAAATCATTGCTGAATTTCGCGGCCTTTGTCTGGCACTGACGCACAACACGATTGTCTCCATCTGCACACAACACAACAACACACTCGATCTCATTTGCTCCGCGTGTCTCCCTCCTTCACCATCAACAAATCAACAACAACAGCCGGCAGTCATGAGCGACCACAACCGCCTGATCAACGTGAGTGGTGCTGCTTGTAAAACATCGGAGATTCGGTGGCGAGGCTTGTCGTCTGGTGTGTTTCGGCGGCGTTTTGCGCGATCGCTGGCCTGTTGACTGCCTGCACCGTGCTGTCCGCACTTGGGATCGCGCTTCCCTCACCCTCATGTTTTGCCACTTGACAGCAGGAAGAGGCTGCGCAGCAGCCAGGGACCGTTGAGGTGATTTGCTTGCCGTGCGCTGAACACCATGCATTCGTGTTTCGTGCTCATTCGTCAATTCAGTGGGCGTTTTGCTGGAACTGACGTGCATGTTCGCTCCATGTGTTTGTCCATCGCTTCAGGCCAACCCCTTTGCTCAGGACATGCAGCAGCAGCAGCAGCAGCAGCAGTTCCAGCAGCAGCAGCAGCAGCCGCAGTTCCAGCAGCAGCACGAAGAAGAACCAAAACCACAACAGGAGTACCAGCCCCAGGCCCAGTTCAACGCGCAGGCATGTTTGAAAACGTGTATCGTGTGAGCGTTGTTGTTGGTCCTTGACAGACGGAGGGCACTGCCACCCCTTGGGGTCTTGCCTTTTTTTTTTCTTTTTCGCCACAGCGTGTGTGCTCACCCTGTATGTGTCCCTTGGCCGTGATCCCGTCCCATCACATCCACAGTGGTCTCCTCCCAGTGGCCACTATGCCAGCACGTCGCCACCACCACCGCCGGAGCAGCAGCACGCCTCGCTCCACCACCAGGGCTACCAAGAGCAACAGCAGCAGCAGCAAGTGCCACATTTCCAGCAGCAGCAGCAGCAACAACAACAGGGCTTCATCGCCGCCCAGGTTGGTGTTGTGTTTGTGCGTGCTTGCGTGTGTTTGTGTGTGTGCTGTGTGTGTGCTGTGTTCGTGCGTGTGTTCGTGCGTGTGTTCGTGCGTGATGTGTGCGTGTGTTCGTGCGTGATGTGTGCGTGTGTGTGTGCACGGCTGCATGTGTATGCACTCTGTCATACAAATTCATGTGTTCTCACTTTTCTCATGTCACACCACCTCACGCTGGCGTGCAGCCCACTCGGTTCCCGCAGCCATCGCCGTTTGGCCGCCAGTCCCTCACCAGCCACAGTACGAGCGTCAAACACAACAGCCACAATGCACAACGGTGGCCTGCTTTCTAGTGGTTGAGAGAGAGGGATCATGCGTGCGTGCGTATGTGCGTGCGTGTGCGTGCGTGTGTGTGCGTGTGTGTGTGTGTGTGCGTAACTTACTTTGGATCGTGTCAGTTCCACCTCATTGCCACTTTCGCAACCTCACATTGGATCAGCTTCCGAGGTCGTGTGGGACAGCCTCAGCCGGCACGCCTCCCGCCAGGCGCTCCTGGCCACGGTGAGCAGTCGGCTGTTGTGGACCCTGTGTGTCTGTGTCTGTGTCTCTTGTGTCTCTGTGTGTCTGTGTCTCTTGTGTCTCTGTGTGTCTGTGTCTCTTGTGTCTGTGTGTCTGTGTGTGTGTCTGTCTGTGTCTCTGTGTCTTTGTGTCTCTGTGTTTGTGGCTCTGTGTGCACTGCAAAACCAAGAGATGCACGCTCAACCTCGCGAATACATGCACGCGCACATACAACCTTACGCCATCACACGCGTGCCGTCTTGATTCAGGTCGAGCATGCTGGCTCAAGCGCTGCCCGCGGATCGCAGCAGAAGTTCCACTCCCTCCTCGGCAACAGCACCATCGATGAGTTCATCCAAGGTGCGTGCGTGCATGTGCGTGTGTACATATTCGCTTCCCTGTACCCGTAGGACCAGTACCTCTCCGTGCCTGTCCTTGTGTGTGTGTGTGTGTGTGTGTGTGTGTGTGGGTGTGTGTGTGTGTGTGTGTGTGTGTGTGTGTGTGTCTGTGTCTGTTTGCTGCTGTAGTGCATCACGAGTCGTCTCAGCTTACCTTACTGCTATCTTCCCAACGCCATCATCTGTAACCACAACACCTCCTCCACCCCACCTTTGCGACTCTGCCCCATCTCTGCAGGTCTGCTTGTTCCTGGCGAGCGGCGGGTTGCGGGGCTGGACTCCATGCCGTATGTCAAGCTCTACTTCCAAGACGCGACGAACCTGCAGGTGTTTGAAGAGCTTGTGCCGGGCTATCTCCTCCTCACCAACCAGCGCCTCATTCTCCTCTCCATCTCCCCGCAGACCACAAACGAGTGAGTTGGTCTATATGTGTGTGTGTGTGTGTAAGTGTGTTGGATGCCTTGCACGCTCTACGCCCAATTCCACGCTCACTCACTCACTCACTCACTCACTCACTCACTCACTCACCGCGTTGCAACTGCCAGGCTGGAGATGGTCGGTGACCCGAAAAAGTCGAAGCACGGCGGCGGGTTCTACAACGTGCGCGCGGCCATGCGCGACTCGCGCTTCTTCTACCCGATCCCGCTCGACGCGTTCCTCACCGTCAGGTTCCAGATGAACGTCGGCGTCGAGACACAGGTGCGGACGAGTGTGTGTGTGTGTGTGTGTGTGTGTGTGTGTGTGTGTGTGTGTGTGTGTGTGTGTGTTGTAAGTTGTGCGTCCCCCTTGTGGTCTACGACGAACATGGATTGCTGACAACATCACA